ATTTTGACATGTTTTGCTATTTAATATGCTCACTACCTGTGCGCGAAGTTGTGTTTGTGCATGTGTAAGAGTGCTGAGGCGATGTCACAGGCCATCCGCTGGAGAAGCAGGGGCTCCGGGGTCATGGCTTCTGCGGTCCTGCAGCTTCGGAGGTAACCCTTCACATCTCCCTGCACACAAAGTGAAACATATGTATGTTACAAGCTCCCACCACTGGAGGGCAGTGTTGTATTGTGCTGTGCTTAATGGGGCCAAGAGTCAACCATCTTTTGTGCAAGAAGGCACATCTGGCTTGGGATTACTATGTGGAATAATGCATAAAAATGCACCAACATTGTGTCCTCTGTTGCATGTGTACATTTACAATGTTTTAACAGACCATTTCAGGTTATGGCTGTGCTGGATTAAATGCTTTTTCTTGTTGTTTTTTATATGATGATGGACTTTTAAGCTGCATTTCAAGTGGTACGAGCAAAGCAGGACATATAAACCTGGGTTGAACTGTCACATATTTATAGCAACTGTCAAGAATGTTTGTATTGCCTTTTTCGATCCATTTAGGGTGCTGATGAGTTACAAGATCTAATGCAGACTTTAAGATGAATTGGGCTTCATTACAAATATTATAGCACATATCTTACAATGTGCTCTATGTTATTTCAATATTTTAAGCACTAACTGTGGTCAAGCTTAATTTAATAACACTTAGCAGTAAAAGGAACATTCAAGCCACAGTGTTTTTTAAAATATTAAAATCCTTAAATGAAATGAGAGATTTCCAACAGGGCAGCACTCCTCTCAGATTCAGACCCTTTAACTCGGTGTGACATTTCTTCAGATGTAATCTTAATCAACGCTTAACATGTGTAAGGCCTTGGGATACTCACCAGAGGACAGAACTCCATCACCAGAAGGTAGGGAGTGATCTCTGTGCATTGGGCAATACATGCCAGCAGAGCAGGGTGCTGGAGGGAGCTGAGAGGAGGAGAGGAGAGGAGAGAGGAAAGAGGAGGAGAGGGAGAGAGGAGGAGAGGAAGAGCGTGTGGTCACAGCACATAATGAGGCAGGCAGTGCATTGTTTGCATGTTTTGCACAATGTTATGCGTGTACTGTAGGTTGACTTTGACATTTTTTTTCAGGATGATTTATTTGTTTTTATTACCATTTTTAATGTTGTTTTTAGGGTGTTAGTGGTTTTTGGATTTTTATTTTATTCTAAATAAAGGTGTCTTGTTAGCATGGATGGGAAATTATTATTATTTATGCATGACACTATATAATAACGCAATAATAAAAAAATCCTATTTCCGAATGACATGTATTAAAATAATAAAAGTCAAAAATGTCATTCCTTAAGTACAGTTCCAACACCTGAGAATTGACCGTACAGTCAATTTGACTAAGATGACTTTTCCATTGATGACAGACGGACAATACAGAAATCCAAACAGAATCAATGGTGAAAAAGGTAAACATGTACCGGAAAGGCTTTGCTTCTTCCAGGAAGTGCATCTGGTCCTGCACGCTGCCGCTGGCTTTCAGTTCCTTCACCACCACTTGGGAGGACTTTAAACCTGTGTTCACCTCCCCCAGCAGAACCTGAAACAGTAAATATAGACATATACACACAGGGACCACAAGTACACAGACAAACACACACATGTACATACAAACAAACCCATTGAGTATGGAGTGGGGAGTGAGCGTTACACAAAGACAGACACAAAGACATGAACGATCATGCAGGAGTTCAGGGACAGGAGACCAAGGACAGTGCAGAGACAGACAAATGCAGACAAACACACGTACAGATGGACATACCCAGTCAAGGTACGCAAGGATGGAGAGGACGCATGTATAGTGATGAGTGAACAGTTTGAGTGGAGAGAAACAGACAAAGAAACAGAGAGGGAGAGAACGAGAAAGAACGACAAGAACATGTTATCTGGTTGTAAAAACACCAAACTATGGTCTAACCTGCACCGATGGGTTATTATTCATTTGAGTTTTACATGTGTCCTTTTGGGCTGAGTCTGATATCAAAGGCCAGGGTTTGCATTACACACTCTTGCATTAAAGGTAACTCAGAGTGTCGGCCAGGATCACAGCAGAGACTAACAGCCGTGACATGAGGTTCACTGATCCTTTGATCTAACTGACGGGGAGCTGCAGGGGCGGCTAACAAACCACCGGGCAGGAAGTTATGAAGATTGAGGGTTCAGAGGTGGGCTTACCTTCCCGAACCAGCCATTCCCGATTTCTTTCAGGTAGAGCAGATTGTGGCGGCTGAGATCTGTGGATATCAGGAGGTGGACTGCAGGGAAGAAGAGAAGAGAAAGGTGTTACAGGGATAGAAAACTGAATTGCCATGATGTTATTGTGGTGTTTACACGGCTAATCACATTACAGTATGTTGCATTACAGCTTGTTCACATACTGTGGTAAAGTGGTTTAGATATGTTACATGTGTTTATCCCACCATTCAATGCAGTGATTTCCATATGACTTCTATATGATGACCATAATGATAAAAAATCTATTAGCCGGAGTTACATTATTGTAATGTTAAGCCATGTTGTATAAGTTGCATTATCAAACAGTATGAAAACAACATTAGTAATGCAGGATAGATTCCCTCTGATGGATTACACTATCAAGCTCAAGCTATTAGCAAAGTAAATCGATTTGTATACCACTAGAGGATGGATGGAAACCAAAGGATGCTTGAGACAAAAGAAAACAATGTATAGAACATATATAACTGTATAGACCTCAATTAAAAATAGTCTCCAACAATGTCAAGTAAAATGAAGTAAATGATCCAGTAAGGTACTCAAATAAGATAGTATGTAGAAAGTATACTATGATTAAAAATATATATATAGTATGGAGAATGAATCTGAAAAAACATCATGTAGTATGTAGAATGAATCTGAAAAAACATCATATAGTATGTCGAAAATATGCAAAAAAAACGGCTTAAGTTGAAAATATCGGAAAAATACTTTTTTACATTATATATCTATTATATATTATTTTTCAACATACTTCTATTTCAACATACTATGATGTCTTCTTTTGCATATTTTCGACATACTATATTATCTCTTTTTTTTCTTTTTTCGACACACTATACTATGCCGTGTTTTGACATATTTTCGACATACTATACTTTGTATACTGGTCATAATATACTTGCATATTTATGACAGACATTGATGTGGTTTTTAAAATGTTTTAAAAAAAGAAAAGTCATTGTATGGTATGTCAAAAATATTTAAAAAAGTCGAAGTACAGTCATTTAAAGTGTGAAAAAAGTGGTAGTATAGTACGTCTTAGTTTGTAAGGATGTAGAACCTATGTTATATTATAGCATGTTGCACATATTGAAAAAACTGTCATAGGATAGAGGTATGTTGAAAATATCAATACATGTTATTATTTAGTATGTTGAAAAAATGTAATAGTATAGTATGTCCAAAAATATGAAAATAAATATGGTATAATAAGAAACAATTCATTTATATGTCATACTATACTAAGTCAAACTATTTGAAAACAATTAATAGTAGAGTATGTCTTAAACTATGTAAAACAACTAGAGTATAGTATGTTGAGAAAAGTCATAGTGTAGTATGTTTAAAAATATCAGAAAAAGTCATAGTAGTATTAGTTAAAGATATGGCAAAAGTAATAGTTAAACATGTCGAAGAAATATGAAGAAAACGATTATAGTATGTTAAGAATATCGGGAAGAAAATCATATTCCTGCTAATTGTGAACGTGTACTTTTGAATTTGATTTGATGAACTTGTTCTTGCCTCGTTATTTAATATTGTTTCATTTGTTGTCTTTATCTGTACTGTCACTGTCCTCTAACAATGTACATTTCCCCTCTGTGGGACGAATAAAGGAATTCTGATTCCCATACGGAGAGTCTAGACTAACCACAATATAATATGTTGATATAACTCATAGTTATGTCAAAAAAATAGAAAATTGTCATAGTATGTTACATCATATAGTATTTTGAAAAATGTAATGAAAAATTCATATTATAGTATGTTGAAAATAGTCATTGTATAGTATGTCGAACATACATAAAAAAAGTCATAGTATAAGTATATCCAAAGTTTGGAAAAATGTCACTGTAGAGCGCCAAAAATATGCAAAACACGATACACTATGTATGTTGAAAATCTGTAAAAAGGCATAGTAAAGCAGATTTAAAATATTCGGGAAAAGTAATAATAACATTTTTGGTAAGAATCTGAAAAAAGCAGAGTATTGTATGAAGGAGAAATATGAAGTTATAGTATAGAATGTGAAAAATATTGAAAAAAACTCCAAGTAAAGTACGTTGAAAAGACAAAGGCTTCCTGTTGGTTGGAATTCATGCTATACTTGTTTCTTAACTTTAACATTATTAAACGTATAACTTTAAGTGACAATACACATACAATTAAACATTTTTGAAACAACACAGAACATTCTGAGATAATTCTGAGAATAACCTCAAAAAGCACAGTGGCTTCACAGAAAAAGGATGACTAGCTAGATAGAATCTAGCAGAGTGTATTTACTTAAGTACTTTATCCAGTCCAGTTTTGAAAAAAATGGCATTGTATAGAGTCTAATAGTATGTTGAAAATATGCAGAAAAAGACAGTGTAGTATATTATAAAAAAATGTTGTTGTACTATCTTTTGAGTACGCCTCTATCTACTTCCCTGCTTAACACAATAATGTACTTTTTAATACACTACACACGTATTGTCGGCTACTTAACGAGGGGTTTAATTTAAATAAATATATTGCATTTTTATGGAGGTGAATCATAAACCTCAGTAATACAGACCAAAAAAGAACACATAACATTGAAAGAACGCACCATATCCAGGATCTTTGGTGGACACCATAGATATTCCATTGTCTGTGAAATCGATGGTCATTAACCCTCTCTAACATGATCATCCAAACATGCCAGTGGATGTTGCTGGTCCATGAGTAAACAAAGTGTATTCTATATTCAGGCCCTGTTCTGTCTGACTGTCCTCCAAACCCCTGATGCGTCTCTCAGCATCCCCAGATGACCGGAGTCCTTCCTGCCTGCTGAACACGCCTGCCTGTCCGTCTCAGCTCAGTGAAATGAAACGGCTCTTCCCCCCTCACCATCCATCCCCTTTCTTTCTCTCCGTGTCTCCCACGATGACACTTAGAGTCTGGGCGTAGAGGCGGACAAACTGATCTTTGTGGAGCTGTCGTCGCCCTGCAGACTGCAGCACAGTCCAGTCCCTGTGTGTAGGCCATATTGGACACCCCTGTCTCTCTCCCTGGACTGGTCATTCCTTACACCCACTCACCCTCTCTCCAGCGCTAAGCAGAATAACAACCATTGTTTGGATGCTTGGGGAAGCATGGCACCAGTTAGGACCAGTTAGTAGGCACACACTGGGGCTATTATCCACATGCTCTATGACAGAGGAATGAACTGAGTCTTGGCGACAACAACGTCAAGCAATGGATCCCAACCTCTCCCAGTTCCATTGGTATCAGCCAATCAAATGGGCGATATGAGTGGCTATCAGCCTCATTGATGTGGATCAGAATTTGCCTCATGACCATGCACATTACCTTTGGGTTTATGAACTAACCACATGGTTGATCACTGAAGGAATATAATTAAAGAATCAAAGAATATAACCCCAAACCAAACACGAATACTTTTGTATATTGTAAATTCTACGCTCTTTCCTGAAGAATTCGTTTTGTATGAGTTCTAACCATTAATTTGCAACATTTCTATTCATTTCAGTTTTACATGTAAGAACTTTTAGTTTTTTAGGTTTCACTTCCACTCACAACCATGCCATCTAGTTACCCTCAAATAATAATAATACTGATGGAACAATGATGAGACCTATCCTGGAGGACTATATTATAATATTGGTTGTGTTATGTCCATTGCTTAGCCGTTTTTTATTTGGTTTTGGAATAAAAAGGTAAGTGAGTTATGAAACAAGTGATTCATAGTGCCTCATTACAATAATACATTTGTTTTCATGAACTGCACTTTCAACACGAATAAATAATGATATGTATCCCATGTCTGTCTTAACCTGGTAAGTTCTCATATGCCTTTACAGCCATTAAACTAACTCAATTTCCACCTGACAGCTCTGTCTGGTCTTTCTAAGCTGTTTGTTGCATCTCTCTCTGTAGAATGCACCTAGCTTAATCGCTATCGTAGACAGGAAGTCTTTAGTGAAATGCCAACGGCTAAATCACTAAGAGTCAAATGGAATTCCCATTATACTCTCCAGTCCAGTGCATCCTATCTGCTGAGCTGTCCTTGAACAAATACACACTGATGATGTTTGCCCATTGAGTTGTGTAACTCAATTGGTAATGCCAGCATGTGGAGGATTTAAATGTTGATGTATGTATAATGAATGCAGACATGAGAGGAGTAGGATGTGTTGAATACATGTATGTCCTCTGACTGGAAGAACATTTCATTGTGTGAGCGTGTGCGTCAGATTCATCGTTGTGTGTGTAGCTGTTCACATGTCTGAGTGGGTGTGGGCTCCATTACTCTGTGCAGGAACAGCTGCATCAGGGCGGGTCCTGATGGGGACTGGGCCTCGGACTGAGCCAAGCTCTTACATTACTGGTGAGTCAATATAGTTAGAGGCACATACAGCATCCTAAGCAACACATATAATAAAAGTATGGAAAGTATAAGAGAGGAAATGACATGTAATGTACAAGCTAGCTTCAGTACAGTACAGTATCATAGATTCATTCAGCCATTACATTTCTCACTAATAAAAAAACACAAATCTGTTTGCCCTTATGATGTCACTGGGTGAGGCAGTCCTGGAGGAGCAATAATGAATCCCTGACCCCGACCACTACTGTAATACCATATGGTTGCTATTATTCACACGGCATATGTGGAAGGGCCAGTTCAATAAAACCACAGAACATGGTGAGGACATTTTCTCGCACGTTATCAAGCCTTGCAGAATGTTTGGGTTTTGAAATGTTTTTGTCTAATACCTTTCCGATCAATAATTCCTTCTTTATAAAGGAAATTCTCTTTTCCTCCCTTCAATTGACATATTTGTTGTTTTCCAAAGAGGATAAAACAAAATCTACAACAAGGATATACTGTTTAGAGAGAAAATATATTTTTTGGGATTTGGGTGAACTTCATTTTTTTATTATCCAGCTTGTGTTATATAGGTTTTTGTAAATGGTCTTAAAAAAGGCTAAAATCCCAAAGTCTCCTCCAGAGGGAGTTTCTCTCCCACACACTCCCCCCCTGCCTGAAACGCCTCATTGGACTGATCGACATAGTGACATCACTACGGAACACTGGAGCTTCTGTTGGCTAGCGCTCCAACCTATTGCACGTGATTAAGGGGCAAACATCTCTTATGCTGCGTTCACACCGGACGCAATGCGATGTTTGGGGGCGGCGCGATTAAATGTAAAGTCAATGGAGAGACGCGGACAGACGCAAATTCGCTCCGACGGCGAGCATGAAGCGGTTGATGCGAATGTCGCGGCGCGATTGAGGCGACTGGAGGGGGCCGCGACAACGGCTCGAGTTCAATTTTTTCAACTCGAGCGTCAAATTCCCGTGACGCGATCTCGCGGTAGCCAATCAGCGGTGAGGATCTCAGCCTGCCGTCACTGACGTAGAACCACAAAACCAAAACATCAGCCGTTAGCTGTTAGCACTCAGAGCTCACAGCTCCTCATATCTGTTCAGAAACTAGACAAAAGTTAAACAAGTACAAACCACAGACTGTCTGTGTCATGGCCAGTACAGTCGCTGGTTTATTTATGTCTGTAGGCCGTTGTTGTGAGTGTGGACGGTCGGATCATATACTGCGTTAGCTTAGCCTGGTCGATCCGATCTCCATTCAGAAAACAAGCATTTTAAAAGGTGTCTCGCCTGCCGTCTTGTCTGCAGACTTGTCAAAGCATTAATTCATGGTTGTTACTAACCGGTATCAGTATGTTGTTACTTCGGCATCATTTAGAAACGTGTATTACAATTAAATAACGGTCAAATATGTTCATTTTGTTGTAGTTGTAGCCCCCGAGTCAGCGCGTCTTGTTTGAGTGATGCGAGTAAACACAGCTGACAGCCGCGGTGAAACTCGAGCGTTTAGAGCGATGCGATAGGAGCGATTAGAGCGAAGCGAATATTCGCATCGCGTCCGGTGTGAACGCAGCATGAGTGGTTGACAAATCACAACAGAGCAGGCCAGCTAACCAATCAGAGCAGACTGGGCTCTGGTTTCAGACAGAGGGTGAAAAGAGGTGCTGCAGCACAGGCAGTATGACACATGTCACAGTAGAGACACTAAATACTATTATGAACCTGACAATGAGCAGAATAGGGTCCCTTTAACTAGCCTGGGTACAACCATATGATTAAAAGAAAATTAAATTCAACTTGAGATTAGATCTTGACTGATGTCATAGTTGACTGCGTGGGCATGATCCATTAAGACTCACAACACTCCAGTGTCATAAGTTTATCAGGCAGCATCAGCCCATTAACGCACAAAAGGAGCATTGTCACAGAGTAGCAGAACGAGAGAAAGACGGCGACAGAGTGAGGGAGGAAAGCTCTCACTGGGGTGTTGTGCTCGTGCATGCCTGACATTCCAACAAGCAGCAGTGTAGGCTGGCCGCTGGGACTTTATTACGCAAGAGGCAGATGTTTGTGGGAGAGAGAGAAATCCAAAGAGCACAGAGTCCATTCTGTGGGGACCTGCAGTGAGGGATTGTGGGATAGGTGGAGACCCAGCTGACCGAGAGCAGCGTCAGGGCGGAGCTCACTCCGGGGACACACTTTGACAAACGCCAGATACACGCTCATCGCTCTCACATTACTCTCACACCCTTGAAATGTACTTGCATATGTAAGAGTCTGGCAGTTTTACAGAGTAATTGCAAGGTTTGCATCAGAGTGAAGACATACATTACAAAGCACTGACACACCGTCAAAATGATATAATGAGTGGATATTCTTTGACCACAGATCCATCTAATATTCCCTTTCAACAGGAGGGATAAAGCGTAAATGCTCTAAAATGTAGCTTGGGGATTTTGAAGATTTCATGAGTGAGAAGAAATAGCAGAACAAGTTCTCAAACTCTAAATTATCACTTTAACTGTCCCTGAATAATTATTATCAACTAATAGCCCCATGCTTTTTTTAAATGGGACATATTATGCAAATGTTCAGGTTGATATCTGTATTTTGTGTCTCTACTGGGACACGTCTCCATGCTTTAATGTTCAAAAAGCTCTTTATCTTTCTCATACTGCCTGTGCTGCAGCACCTCTTTTCACCCTCTGTCTGAAACCAGCTAGGTTAGCTGTCCAGCTATGTTGTGATTGGTCCACCATTTAGGGATGTGTCGGACATTTCCCGCTCATTAGCATACCAAGTACAATGTGTTGAAATGCTAGCCAATAGCAATGTGAATGTAACATAGTTATACCACTACTAGAAACTTTGGGATGTTAGCCTTAGCAGACCATTTACATGCACAGAAACTTATAGAACACACTACAAGAAAGGGAAAACCTAAAAAGCATAAAAGCATAAAAGGGCCTCTTTAATCTGCACCCTTGCAAATAGAAAACTATTGTTATTGTGTGATTTTCTTCTTATTTCACCAAAACTACAGCCTGATTTTCTAAAGAATGTTTTAATCTCACATGCTCACGTTTAGTTTTCTTTTACTTTGGCTGCACCTTATATGTTTGTTTGAAGTAGATGGAGCCCTAGATGTTCAAATGAACAGAACCAAAGTGAAGCTCCACCCACCTGATCGAGCAGGCTGCTTTGACAGCGGCAGGGACACCTCGGTGAGCGGCAGGATGTAGACGTCCGGGCTGCCCTGGGAGGCCGACGAGGCCAAGGTGGACATGTCTGCATGGTACTCCTCCCCCTCCCCATTCTTGAATTCCTGGAAACAGATGCATGGAACAGGTTGCTTGCATTAGAATGGCAACTAGTTATTTGAAGGGTCAAAATGTGAGGACATGTGAGGAGGAAAAATTCACAAACATGACATAATCTACTTGTAGAGGCATTGTAGGTCATAGCAAATCTACTCCATGCAATATGTAATATTTGGCTGCATCAATGTTCATGTAGAGATGAAAAACCCCACCACTGATGGCTGATTTTTTGGCTTGACCGTTGAAGAAGAGCTGAGATAAACTGATGCAAGCTGTCCTGGCTCGCTGCAGTGTTTTCTTGAGTTTTAAACAAAGCCCCAAAGATTATTTGTGCTAAGATTACATGTTTCTCAATCCTCCACGCCGCAATTAAGCCTGATGGGTTTCAGCACTGGGATGCTTTCTGGACGCATTCACAGCCTGCAGTGAATCACTCTCACGCAATGTCATATATTTTAAAACTATTTAATATCAACAGAATAAGCATATTCACAAAATAATGTATTTGACGGCACTTCTTAAAGCTGTACCCTGATCCAACTTTAACCTTCAAAGGACAACAACTGCACCAAGAGAAGATTTATGAATAGGTCTTAACAACTGTGATCGGCAAATGAGGGTTTTTACAAGAGACTAGCCTCATCACACTGATAACTTTCAATAAAGATTTTTAAATGTATAAAGAGTAATGAGTCACTTTGGAAGAAACTACTAAGAAGTTGCATAAAAAAAACACAAGAAAACGTTCCAAATGAAATTGAACGTGTCAAAAAAGGTCACATAGATAAGAGAATTTTTTTTCTATGAGAAAAGATTGTTCAAACATTTAAATGCATTCATGTTTTTTTTCTTTCTCTTTTGCTAATTTTCCTTACCAAACTTTTTTTTCTACCTTTTAATGGATCAACATCATTGGGTGGAGCAACTTTCCCCAAATGAAAAACTGTTCTGTAATCACGTAATTACTTTTGGAGTGATGATACGGAGAAGATGAATAATGAGAACAAAAAAGAAATATATAAACGCCAGAACATTCTGGTTTTCTTTGTCAGAGTGTTAGTGTGAAGGGATCATTCTGTCTTTAGGAACTCAGGGACACATCACAGGATGCAGCAGAGGAGGGGGGGGGGGGGGGGGTTTGGCTGCATCCACCGACCGGATGTCAGAATAAAAGTCTCTTAGTTAGAAGCTGGAAAGCAGTGGGGTCTCAACACTGGAAATATGTGACCTGCTGCAGCCCTCTGCAACACACACACACACACACACACACACACACACACACACACACACACACACACACACACACACACACACACACACACACACACACACACACACACACACACACACACACACACACACACACACACACACACACACACACACACACACACACACACACAACACACACACACACACACCTCAATCTCACACTTCATCCTGTCCCCCAAGAATGCGAGCACATACACAGTACACACATGTGCAAGCTGCAACCCCCCCCCCCCCTCCCTCCGCCTCAGATCCAAATCTTCACACGGCCCTGCTCGCCCTCCAACTCAACATGTGGTTTTACTCACATCGACACACACACACACACACACACACACACACACACACACACACACACACACACACACACACACACACACACACACACACACACACACACACACACACACACACACACACACACACACACACACACACTTTTGTTTGATAAAACTGAACTTCATTACATTTCATTGTTAATTTAAAAACTGCAACTACTTTGCAAACTCATAATTATAATGTACAGTATCCTATGTTTATATATTTGTAGTAATAGGTTAGTCTATAACAGAGTATTTGATCTTATTCTGTATATTTTAAATTGGGAATTCTGTATTCGATAGATAGTCTATGTATACAATTCGTTTTTATTTTGTATTATTTTAAACCATGTGCAATGCCTCGTGAACATGCTGCTGCAATAAAACAAATTAAATATAATATAATATAATCCAATCATTAATTTATAAATGTTCTTTCACAACTCAATAGAAAAAGGTCTTTAAACTGAAAAAAGTAAACAAATGAACAGATATTAAATCGTTTTTTGATAGGCAAAATAAATCACTTTCTTACATTTCTACGGATCAACATTTGATTAGGTATCTTAATCCTATTTGATTTCCCTGATGCATGAGGCTTAGTTTTTCTGTGACCCCCAGTTATCTTACCTTTCCTCAGATTCCACAGGGTGGGATGGCAACACCCTCAGCTTAGTTTTCAGCATATCTGTCTCTGTCTTTCTCTCTCACACAACCATAAAACACACACACACACACTCAGGGTTCCCATTTGTGTGATGGGAGCAGGGCAGCAGGAGGGTGGTGGTGCCAGGGAGGCATCATCTCTGCAGAGAGAGTCTCATTGTTGAGTCCAGGAGAGGAGGAAGAGGAGGAAGAGAGCTGACCACTGACTGTCCCCGGGACTGATAGGGATGGAGGGATGGAGAAAAGGAGGAGCAGGGGGGGAGGAAGGAGGAGGAGGAGGAGGAGCGCTATCTCCCAGCTCACAGGCTAGAGCGGATGGGGTTGTCTCTTGAGGGAGAGGAGGAGAGAAATTGAGCCCCCACAAAAATGTGAGGGAGAAAAAAATACAAGTGGGAGGATGGGGGGAGGAGGAGTGGGGGGGTTCACATACTATACATGTGACATCACTCCCCCTCTCTTCCTCTCTCTTTCTCTCTCTCCCAAAAGCCAAAGAACATCTGCAGGGCAGTCCCCTTCCCCAGAAAAATGGACAACACACACACACACATTTTTTGGATAACACTTATGCGGATCATCCTCAATCTGCTTTAATTCATGACCTCTGAACCTGACCTCCACCTTCATAATTACATGCCTTAACCTGAAAACTTATGGAGCTTTACATGCATTAGGCTTGTTTAACTGTTCATAACAAATCAGAATGCGCATAGAATGAGTAATCCTAAATTGATCACTAAATAACCACTACAAATGATCCTTAAAAAAACAATTGTTGTCCCAAATGTTGCTTTTTTGCTTCAGTCTGCCATCTTCTTAATAATTAAGGGTATCAATAACGGGGGGTTACGTATTGTAACCCTTGTTATATAAGCACAGGCGGAGCCCTGTACTGGACTCTATGGGTACTAGGGGTTTCACCAACTAATCGACTAGTCGACTAGTCGACTACCTCTACCACTAGTCGGCACTGTAGGCCCTAGTCATCTAGTCGTGAACAAAATGGAGGCAAACGTGGGAGATGAGGATGCCGACATTGGCGCTGAGGTGCTGCAAAATGCTCCAGCAAAACACGTCCGACATTCAGGGGTCCTCATCTAATGCGCAAATGTGCCGCACCTATGCGCTCTACAGTTTCAGTTTTAGCTCCGGCGCTAAAAGTTCACGAGCGTGCTCCACTAGCACCCCCTCTTTGAACAGCTGTTTGGACCTCATTTCGAGAGCAACAAGAAAACACAGGTCAACAGTGGCGCGGATGAGCTACGGGATTACTGCCAGCAGACACCCCATATCCCCACAATGGATAACCCTCTGAAGTGGTGGGCACAAAACGCAAAACGCTTCCCCCGTTTAGCCAAGCTTTCCAGGAGCTACCTGGCTACACCAGCACCCCAAGTGAACGGATGTTTTCCCTGGCAGGCAACACTGTCACCCGACAGCGGTCAAGCCTCCTTCCCTCACATGTTGATGCTTTGGTCTTCCTTAATGCAAACCAAAAAACCTGGAAGGGTGGACATCGTTATCGAGGAGGACAGTGACAGCGAGTAAAGTGTTGCGCAATGCGCACTGGATTTACATTGCATTTATGTTCTTAACAGTTTTTGCAGTAGATTTGGTGAGTCCAGTTACTGTTTTTTATTTAATCAGCCAGGTAACCCATGTAACCCAAATTAAAATGCTGCTTTGTTACAGTGTTTAACATAACTGTTATTGCAATACAAAATACAGTTTTACACCTCTCTTTGTGTGTCTTTATTATGACGTAACAACTAGTCGACTAGTCGACTACTATTTTGAAAAACTTGTCGACTAGTAAATATTGGAAGTTGTGAAACCCCTAATGGGTACTACCTTATCCTGCGAGCATTCTCCTACTGAGATTTCTATAGACGTAGCCGGCCTTGGGGCGGGCCTACCTGAATGTGTGCGCATCTCACCGTATAAAAGGAGGCCTCGCCTCCTGACTATCATCCTACACCTCTCTTCAGCGAGAGGAATAGGACAGACAGTGCCCTGAGTAGAGGGCTCCGCCTGTGCTTATATAACAAGGGTTACAATACGTAACCGCCCGTTATGTCTCTCACAGGCTCCGCCCTCTACTGGACTCTATGGGTACAGTGGGTGGAGCCCTGATGTATACGCGCACTGTCGTCCAACAATACCATTCCACCCTACTGCCCCTGACCGGCTTTTCTGGTCAGCAGCTGCTGCCCCACACTCTCCTTTACCCCGGTTGTGACCATGGAGAAGTCTGGGCCGCGGCTGGGGGCCCGGGAAAAACGAAGGCGCATTACGTCCGGGGAGGGGGTCAGATGCCCACTGACCCACAGCCCCTCCCCCCCCCCCCACCAGTCCCGTGTTGCCCCAGCAAGCACAGACGAGGAGAAAGAGCCAGACATGTCCAAGAGATAAAACGTTATGAAGGGGCCTGGCGTTGAAACAAGACGCCGCCGTGCATATGTCCTCCACACTCACACCGTTGAACAAGAGTGTTGACACAGCCACAGCCCGTGTAGAGTGCGCACGGACCCCCGTGGGGCAGGACCTCCCCACCTGTCCGTAAGCATGTGCAATGCACTCGCAGAGCCAGCTTGCCAGGTGTTTCTTGGACAGAGCTTTCCCGATCACCCCGCCCCCGACGCACACAAACAGCTGATAGCGCACGCACCGGGCAGAGGAGGTGCCGTTTAGCTTCCCCAGCCCCACTATGGGGTGGAAGATTAAAGCCCCCCAACTGAATAGCCCTCAAACTG